CTTTAAAAGTCAAATAAGATAATTTGACACCTTACCCTCTGATCTTTAATTTCTCAAAAAGTGTATATTTAATTTTTTAAATTATTAAATTATGAACAAAATTTTGTAGTGGACTTTGGTTGGGGTCTAAGTTACAAGGGGTTTACTGAGTTGGGCCAAATTCAAAATGGCAGATTTTACTATTTGCTACTATATACTACCATTTTCATATTTCCCAATATGGTTAAGTTGTATATGCTTTCAAAATGGTGATTTCTGAACAGTAACAAAAAGGAATTTGTAAGGCATGTGTTTATTAATGGTCTAGCTTTGCCTATAATATGCCAAAAACTACTCAGGAATTGTACCCTGAATTTGCAGGCAGCCTATAGACAGGCTTCCTCCCTAGACTTGGCACAGAAAAACTCAGATGCCTTTAACTACACATCAACAGATTATGTCACTGCTACTGCTACTATAGAACCCAAACAAATTCAAAAGGAAGAAAACATAAGTAAACACATTGCTGCATCATTTAGTAAAGGAAAGTTACTTCATATTTTTAATAAAAAGAACTGTTTTTGTGGTGGACTTCTATACCAGAGAAATATATGTCCAGCTAGAGAGTCCACTTGTCACACTTATAAAAAAATAGGACATTATTCAAAAGTGTGCAAATATAAAAGCAGAGGCGTAATTGTTGCTATGGAAGCAATGAACCTATGCACCATGACAGTGTCAGTTCCGTAAAGTCTATGATCTGCAACAACTAGAATGTCTGTTAATGGTCACTGGCTAAATGTGTTACTCAAGCAGCTCAGAAAGTTTCATTAACGAGAAGATTACTTTGAAATTTCAATTTGAAACCAGACCACTCAACAAAGAAATCTTCATGGATCTGACCACAATGAACACTCACACTTATGGCTTCTGTGTTGTTGACAATAATAAACAAGACATGCTATAAGTGTGTCATTCTCAAAGTTTTAAAGAACTTGTGTAGTGACTTAATACTGGGACAGAATTTTCAGAAACAACTCAAGTCTCTTCAGATCAGATATGTGGGTCCTAAACTGGATCTTCTTCTTATACCCAACTATGAACCAGTTAGTGCTTTTTCTGCTGCTTCAGTTAGTGAACCCTTGCTTTTTCCAGACTTGTCTTCAAATTGTAAACTAATCACAACAAAATCACAGCAGTTTGGGAAGGATGACAAGGATTTCATCAGAAAGGAAGTTGAGAAGCTACTACAAGGCATAATTGAACCAAGTTCAACCCCCTGGAGGGCCTAAGTGTTGGTTGTTAAGGACCCCACTAACATAAGAGGTTATGCGTTGATTACTCACAGACTATCAACCAATTTAGAGAACTTGATGCTTATCCTCTGCCACATATCGAAGAGACTGCAAACAAACTAGCCAAATACAGTCTTTTCTACCATTGATCTGAAAAAAATGCCTAATTCCTCTAAGGCAAAATGAAAAAAAAATTTCTGCTTTTGAAGCTAATGTGAGAGTCTATTATTACTGCCATTTGATGTGACAAATGGCATGGGCCTTGTTATAAAATAAGACATATCTCGGCTGATTTGCAGGCAAATAAACTAACATACTTAAGAGCGAGAGCCGGATGTGAACGGGACAAGACCCCGTCACAAAATGACCACTATCATCGTCTACGCATAAGCCCGACGCATGAGTTCCGGTCGAAAAATAAAATAATATTTTAAAGTGTTTCTATTTTTCGACCAATAAAAATGCTTCCCTCCTAATTATACTCACATCGTTTTTCGAGCCTGTTAAGCCATAAAAAATGCCATAAAAGGGGTCACACAGAGAAGTACAACAGCAGTCAACAGGAGACCAGGGAAGAGACCTGTCACAGTCAGTCAGCAGCAGGAGGAGGAGCACCATGCCAACCAGTGTGAACTACTATGAGAGATCAACCCAGACCGGGAGCCGGATTATGAACCAAAAGGTAGCTGTCCCAAAACCACACGTTCATATTGAAATAAATCACGTAAATCTATTTCTGCTGTTGTCGTATTTCTTTCTTGCAACCATACACTTGTCTATAACACTGGTGTCAGAAGCGTACAGCAAGAGAAATATGGACAACTATGTTAAAAGATTCTTCACAGCCATTAGTGGCAAAAGTCTTACACTGAATGAGATAAAAACAGTATCTTCTATATCCTCACTTAATATCCTTGGTTACTGGGCAGATAATAGGATAATTAAACCTGGCCCAGAAAGACTTTGATTGCTCCAAGAATTACCTGTATCAACAACTCTGAATTCCTTAAGGAGAGCTGTTGGTATGTTTGTATAATATACTAAATGGATACCAAGGTTCTCTGACTTAATCAAACTACTGATTAAAAACAAGACTTTTCCACTGAAAGCATTTAAATCTCTGAAGAAACACTGGAGAATGTCACTGCAAAATATAGATGAAGTTGTTAAATGTGATGCTTCAGATATGGCAGTGACGGCTGCATAAAAGCAGAGAAGTAGACCAGTGGCTTTCATTTCATGGACTCTGCAGGGGAAAAAATTGCACTGTCCTTCTAAGCAACAGCCATAATCAAGAAGTAGAATCACCTCTTTTCAAGACAACATTTTACCTTGATTACAGACCAACTTTCTGTGGTATTTGTGCTTGATAACCACAAGATGACAATAATTAAAAAGGATAAAATTTTAGAATGAGAAATTGAGCTGTCTGCTTTTAGCTACTTGATAAGATATCAGCCTGGAAAAGACAATGTTGCCCCTGACCCACTTACTAGAGAATTTTGTGCTTCAGTGTCTCATCAGCTCTTGGTGATCTGCATCAAGGACTATGCCATCCTGGAAGTAAACGAATGCTCTATTTCTTACATACTAAGTACTCTTCTCAACAAAATAAGTAAAGGAAGTATGTTTTTCATGTCAACTATGTTCGCATGGAAAATGGAACTCTAAAGCTATTCAACCATTGCAATGTCTAAGCATTGATTTTTTAAGGACTCCTACCTTCAAGTTTGGGTAATGTTTATATCCTCACCATTGTGGATGAATATTCCTGATTTCCATTTGCATTCATCGACAGTAATGTTTGTACCAGTTATTTGCACTGTTTCCTGGTTATATCTACTCTGATAGAGGTACTTCTTTTCTACCAAAACAAATAATGGTCTATCTATTAAATAAGGGCATCATTGCTAGCAAGATAACACCTTTCTAACCCAGTGGTAATGGACAGGAAGAGAGATACAATTGTATCATCTGGAAACCAATTAAACTTGCCCTTAAGTCAAACAAACTGGATGATCATCATTGGGATCCTCTGGTGGATGAGGTTGAGCTGAATCCATCCTATGCTACCATTAAGCACCAAGATGGACGAGTATCAACGGTATCATTAAAGGATCACCATGTTGAGTATCAGAGGCAGAAAATACTGGTGTAATAAATGAACCCTTTGAGGCCCTTTCAACAGTGATAGAAAGAACTGATTGCATTGAAAAGGTAGATATCATTAGTAATGAACAGTCCTCATCTCAGTCACCTAACTTGATGCACCTACCCCTTCACTTACTAAAGCTATCCAGTACTTCGTAGGTCTTCCAGATTGGTTAAATCTCCCCAGTGTCTGAACTTGTAATTGATAGCACTTGAGGAACTCCCTGCTGAATGAAGGTTATCAGTCATTAAGGAACTCTCCCTGTGCAACACGAGGAAATAAAGGCATATTTTTTAAGTCATTAACAGTAGCCTGTAAAATTAGTTTAAAGCTTCTTAAGTTGTAATAATTGTTGGTTATTTTCATTACACAATACTAACCCAAAACATTACTCCACTTCCTTATTGTTATCAACTAAGCCTTGTCAGTTACATCTTTCCATAATCCAGTCATAATGTCCATCCAATGTAGTTCTACATTGATCAATGATAATTAATGTTAATAAATCAGTTTTCATATACTTTTTCACTGAACTTACATGTTTTGTTTTGTGATGTGTACTTAAAAGGTGGATGCTTTCATATTTTTAGCCAATGTTCTCAAATTAGTTATCAAAGATATCTAATAAAATTAAATAAATTTATAAGTTTATATTATAAACTGAAATTTACATGGCCTATTTATCATATAAATATACCCTGAAAGTTTTCCCCAACACCAGTTAGTTAATATTAGTTTTATTGTGAAACCATTAAATTGCAATTAAAATATGCATATTAATTAATGCAAAAAGGCTTGGACTTATATGGTAATTTAAAATTATTGATTGATTTTAAGATATTTTTTAAAACATAAATTCTTATACATGTATTATATATCTTCTAACTGTTTATGGAATCAATGCCATGTCAAGCACTTCACTGGATTAGAGGAATTCCTAAATGTTACTAAGCATGTAACCGATAACTTTTGCAATATCAGTGAAATTTAAGAATTAAATATTTAGGAAAATATTTTACTTTGACCTTTTCTTAGCTAATTTTTTTGGTGATACTTCTTCAAATCAAACACTTGTAATTATATTTTCGTATTTCCAATGATGAATTTTGATGACTGCTAATAAATATACAGAAATCTTATTAAAATTTGACAACAGATAAACAGCAAATTTTTAAATGAGAAAAAATATATTCAAATCAAAAACAAGCTGTAAGAACATTACATAATTTTCATAACATAAGAATCACATATGCATTACCTATATAGTGTGATTAAAATGAAATTAAATAATTCTTTTCAAAATATTTACTATATTCTTTTTACTTTCAAGCTAAATAAGAGTGCAGGGAACTTAAGTACAATCAAGAGCAAACTGAACAAAATACTTCCACCATACAGCTGTTTTTTTTCATTATATATTATACAGAAAAATTATTTTAAAAAGCAAAGTACAGTAATTATGATATCTTATCAACTACCATATGATCCATTATATATTTTTCCAAAATATTAGAGCACAGCAGATTAGAAATACCATAATCTTTAATAATCTAATTTAAATAAATAAAACATACCAAATATCTCTTTTGTAATTGAGCTGTTTCTTTCCGGAGGCTAAGAATTGCCAATGATGGGTTCTGCAATTTCTTCAATTGTCTGTCATCAGCAATCAAACAAGAAGGACTAGTAAGATCAAGACAATTTTTTTTCTCAGGTGATATACTAATCACATGCATATCATACATCTGAACATTTTCCACAGATAAATTCTCAGATGATCTTTTCTTATTTGATCTCTGTATCTGAGTAAACACATCAGGAGTAACTTCCTGATTTGACATCTTCTTGTAAGTCTTGGATGTATTCTTTTCATGAGTTACTGACTGAACAGAACTCTCAAACAGCTTACTTGATGACAAATACTTTTGACAATAAGATACATGCCCTGAAAAGAAAAGAAAAAATTTAAATGAAGTTTGTTGCAGTTGTTAGAACTTGAACTGAAAACCATAAAATCTAAGATTGCACAATTTGAATCCAGTAAATTTACTGCCAAAATTATATTAAGAGATTAACAATATAACAAGCAAAAAAAAAAAAAAAAAAAAAAAACCCCAAAACATAGTTAGCATAATTCTAATAAAAGAAATACAACTTGAAGTGACTATTAATGGACTATATTTTAAACATACAACTTAGTTAATAATGAAATTTCATAATATACTCAGGAATTGCTAAAAAAACTTTAGAAAAATAGGAATGGAAATGTACTTAATTATTATGAAAATATATATTGTGGTGAAATGAAGGCTGCAGTTCAGAATAGTGTTTGTGTACAGAACTTATTTGTGAGATCATTGCACTGAGTTGCTTCTCTTTGTAATTAAAATTGCTGTAGTCCTTTTGGCACTTGTTTCAAGTTGTTAACCACACCTACAATGCAATGCTTTAACATTTGGTTAAATACTAGTGACTTTGCACCAGTAAAATTATTATTATGGTAATGCTTCATATAGTTAATTATTTTTTCTTATTGCAAGAATAAGAGCTGAATGAATTGCGCAGAGATTGTCTTCAAAGCTGGAAGTTGACGTCCATAAAATCTCTTCAGCTACACCCTACATGCAAACCTCTAGTGGCCTGCCGGATGGTAATGCCAGCAGTCCTCTGGTGGGCCTCTATCAGTCTGCCAGTAGTAACATTGCTGGGATGAACATGCCAGTTGTCTAAAAGCAGTAAATGCTGTAACAGTATTTAGCTATGGTAATTAATTAACTAATTAGCCATAAAAATTGAACAGAAAAATGCTGAAAGCAGAAAAGAAGGGTTAAGAGATATCCCGAACAATATACCAATCAACATAAGATTTTATTCTTTTTTTCAAAAAGTCTATTTTTCTCAAGAAACAGAAGAATTGCGCCATCAATAATTTCATGAAAAGGCAATGTGGCGATCTCTGGCAATTGATTAATGATGGTCGTTAAAAGTGCTGGTTAAGAAGACACAAAATAACCAGAATCAACAAAGATATCATTTGAGGGTGCATGTAATGTGACCGAGAAAATGGTCAGAAGTGAAGGCCATGTGTTAATTGTAAGAATTTTGGTAGGTTGCAAAAGTATTTGCATAAACAAAGTTCCAGTTGATAATTCTAAACTGCTCATGATCTGGGAACAGGATAAGAAATTCTGAATAAGCAGTAGTGTCAAAGAGTTAATTAATGAAGCAAGCTTAGCTACACCAGCATGGCCAAGACACCATTGATCATGTGGTAGCAGTGGTGATAAGTGGAGGTAAAATAGTAAGAGAAACGGAGAAGTTACTAACACCCACCGAAAGGAATTGGTGTGAGGTACCAATGTGAGGAGGGAGGGAGTTTAGGAGGATAGCTATTCTGCAACCTTTCCTCACAGATTAATTTTCCTGGCCACACAACAAAGGGACCCTTGTTGGAAATTGGGGATTCACTGAAAACCCCAAGCTGCGTCTAACCCTGCACCGGGTTTTTGTTGAAGTCCATGTACGTGAGTGCCCTTGGGCAGTTTTCTAGTTTGCATCTTGCAGTTGGAGAGACCTATGAGAGAGCTGACTGAGAGATTCCACGATTTCTGCCTCTGACTTCACCATCCTACCAACAGTAAGTTATACTGATAAATAAAGCTAAGCCAGCACTTAAAAACTAAACCAGTTGACTTAGTGCCTAGAAGTATAAAAGTGTCACTCTCAGATGAAACGGGTTGGGAAGAACACACACTCCTATATAGAACAGACTGGTAAAAGATGATTTGCTTTCTTTAAACATAACTAAATCTTTTTGGTTTTCATTTATTTCTTTTGTGCGACATCACCTCCAGTTTAAACTCATCTTTCACGACGGCCGCGGTGTATGATTGATCTCGTCAACCTAAGATCAAAATCACAATGTGGGTAGGTTAGACTTGAGATAAAGATAGTTACTTCGGTAACCAGTCATTGGAAGCAAGATGAGAATGATGGAGCTGGTGTCGAACTGGTTGAATCTGGTGTGAAGCCGTTATGTATTCGTGCCATTAGAATCGACTGACCATCCCATTTGGTACCCTGACCAAATAGTTTCTGCCAGGTAGCAATGACCATCGATCAACCGGGTCACAGTGACTAAGAGCCAACCCCAGAATGACCCAGTAGGTGTCCCAATGCTAGTGGCATTTCACCCAGTGGCAGATTGGTGGCTCGCATGTAGGGAACTTGGATATTGTTTTACAATGTTAAAATAAAACAAACATACAATAAAGATGATTCTAAAAGTTTTCAATCAAGCCTAATAGTTAATCTTATAAAAAATAATTGATGGAAAAATCTTGAATAATTTACAAATGATAGAAATGTATGTGTAAATAAGTTCAATCTTATAGAAAGATATAGCTGATTTCTATGAATAAGAGGTAAAAATGAAAAAAAGTAAAAAGGAAAACCTTACCTTTGTTTACTTGATTGTACAAATCTTTAAGATGATCACCTCTGCATTTGACTTTCCTTGAAGTTGTGTGAAATGAACCTGAAATATTTCCATAATAAAACAATTGATCCACCAAAATATTTGAAGTCATATGTTAAAAGGGATAATGAAATCATTTTTTAAAATAAGATTACAATGAAAAAAATAAAATAAAAAAAATAAAAGTAAAACCCGAGTTCCAAAATTTTTAATTACAACTGAATTCAATGGTAAAATAATGACAAAATTTCTTCCAATATACAAATAATTTATGTATATAACTTTCTGTGCACAAGAGCTAGATTGAAATGCTAAACCAAACATGTGAATCAATTCCAAAGAAGTTATCTAAAATGGGAACAATTTTTTCCAAAAAGTGTCTATTACAGTAAAATTTTGACCATTTTGAAGTGGCAGATAATTTCAACCTAATAGGAATGCAGCAGTTTTATTCCAAGTTTCAATAAACAGTTTAAATTTAAAACATTTTGCAATATAATTTGTGTGCAGCAGTATTATGGTGTCATATAGACTTTTATTTTGTTTTTATTAATTATAGCCTAACAAATAGTGTAAGATCCTCTTCATTGATTGACCTTTACTGTAATCATTTACAATTTTTACAGTTTCCCTTATTGAATACAAAAAAATTGCATATTTTGCTTGTGGTGATTCATAATTAGAATTCTGATTAGAATATATTTTCTATTCAATGTATCTAATACAAAAAACATCAACTTTATTTGGATTTATTCCTGAAATAGTCAAATTTTGAGGTCAGTTTGTATGCAAAAACCTGCAGAAATTAGGTATTTCTGTATATTATTTTTGAGATGATCTTTAAACTTGAATGCTCAAAAATTGGTAAAACTTATAAATCTAATTTTTGGTATCTTTACTTATCACATCAAACCATAGTTTTTGCACAGTGCAATGTTGCTTTTCTTTAAAAAAAAAAAAGTGAAAAATCAAGCATATTCTAACATGAAAAATGTATCTTTTAACATGCTGAACAGCAGATATTGAAAATTGAAGGAATTGATGATTCATTTAGTTTTGCCGAAACAATTTTGAAAAGAGGCACTTTTTCTAAAAGAAATGTATTGGTTATCTGAGAACCTAATTTTGGTGAAAGATTTAAATTTGGATTATTCTTTGGATATCCCATCTCTTCTTTGGGCCAAAATCTGGCATATATGCACCACATTTAAAAAAAATAATTTGAACACTTCATTAGAACCTATCTTTTGTAAAGTCATAAATAGGACAACACTGGGTTTAAGAAACAAAAATAATTTCTTCTGATGTTGATTTCCAAAAGCAATTTTATTTTCCAGTTTTCCTTTTTCCAAATGAACTTTCTCAGACAATTCTTCAAAAAGAATTGTTTTGAAAAGCTCAAATTACTTATATTTGTTATTGATCAGAGAACTTTTGTGCAATTGATTATCTATCTATATCCCTTTTTTTGTAATTGATATTGTAAATTGAATATTGTAAAATAAAGTTTTTCTTTCACATTTTAAAAATATTAAGTCATTTTTCTTCTCTTTATATTTTAATTTTATTTTCTCACTATTACTTCCATGTTTCCTATAATATATATATATGATCAGTATAGCATATGAATTTCAGCTTAATATGTATTACAATTTTGTAGGAGGATTACAAGGGTTGTTCATATTGTAAATAAAGATATATAATAGTAGGGACCTCTTCAAAAAAACCATACCATACCTAAAGTTTAAAATGAAAAATCTTTTTTGAAGCTTTTATTTTAGTTTTAATTTCAAGCTAATTTTCAATATGCAAAATACTTTGGAAAGGATCATTTGCATTGACTCAATAATCCTGACTACAGCTGATTCCTTTTATAGTAAATTCTTGGACGAGAAACTTTAAGCTAAATAGTATGTAGCATTTTGGAAATTCAGTCTTTTTGCTATTTTGACCTGCACAAACATATTTAAATGATCAGTGTCAAACTTTGTGCTTATATGCAAATACTTTCTGTGACACTATTTAGCTATGGTAATTGGCTAACTACTTAACCATAGAAATTAAAACAGTAAATAGACATTCTTAAAGCAAAAAAATGATAATGTTGTGTACGGTCACCCATAATTACAAAAAGCGGCACATTTATACAATAATAAAAAAATTCAAAATTCTTTAAAAATATGGGTGTTTGATGATTTGTATTAAGCTTTTCCATTTATGACTAGTAAACAGTTTTCACTTAATAATACCATCAAAACCACTGAAATTAATACAGAAGTTTTAAATATTTAAAACTGAATAAATTTTTTTATTAAAAAAAAAAATGTTTCAGTAAACATCACAAAAAAGTATATAAGTTAGATAAAAAAAAGAATATGAAAACTGGTTTGTCAACAGTAATGAATGTAGATTTGATGGACATGATAACTTGGAAATAGTCAATGAACATAACAACTTAGCATAGAGTAATGTTTTAGTCTAGTATTGTTGAAGTAAAAATTAAAGTTGATAGTATCAAGATAAATGCAGAGAATTATAGTAGGAATGCGGAAATCAGAGATGAGTTCAAATTCCAGTCAAACTGAGGGGAAGTAGAAAAAAATCAAAGAATCATAGCCCAGGTGGCAAGAGAAAGTGTATTAATACTGAATATGACAAGATTAGAACTGGCCAAGAATAGAGCCAGTATCAATTGGTTAATAAGTAGCCTGAGAGAGCTAAGACAAGAAGTAGCTAATAGGTCAGAGGCTGTGACAGCTGAGTTACAGGAATTGAGTGGGTTTATGCAACAGTATTTTCAGTTAATAACCATTACTAATAAAGTGCGACAGACTAGTCAGTCCGTGATGCTTTTATGTGAGGGCTCAATTGGATATGTTACAATTATGACACCTATCCCCAAGCATAGTGACCCCTGGGCACTTTAAGGAATTATTACTAAAGATACAAACTGAATTGCCTCATTTGAGGTTGCTGGTAGAGTTTGGGTAGTGGCTGCACAGAAACTGATTGATCTGTCTAGGGTAGGTCAGAGAGAATCTACTAGGACGCTGGCAGTGAAAACATCATTGTCCCTAATAAAACTACCCCTGGGGTGTTCAGCATTTCGGATGTCCATCTCCCTATCCCCATATTAGCAGGCTGAAGAGAAGTATGAAGAAAAAGATTTGATTATAGGGATAATGGACAAAAGCTTAGGTAATTGCACAGAATTATAGGATCCGGTAATGAACAAAATCTCTAAAGTTACACTAGAAAATATGTCAGAGATATTAAGGCTCATTGAAAGGATGAATACGAATCAAAGGACAGATTAAATATTTTGGGAAAAGAAAGTATGGTTTGGAAGGATAGTAAAAGAATTATAATAAACTTGTCAGCAGTGATAGGTACTTTGTTAATCATTGCTGCAATAGTGGCAGTGATATGGAAAATTAAAAAGTATAGATAAAAATCAATTAAGGGTGTTTTGGTGAGCATGCAATGACGTAAGAAAGGGATAATGTTCATCAATCTTTACTCAAATGGATCAAATAAAGATGAAGAAGAGACCGGATTGAATTTGACAGCAGAAGTAGAAATGGAGCCAACACTTGTTAAGGAGACACCAAGACTTCCTACTGTAGAGATAAGAGTGGTAAGCAAAAAGAACAAACCATAAAACAAACACACACACATCCAACATAAAGGAAATTACATGAAAAAAAAAGAAAAAGAAAAAAAAAAGACTTTTATTAAAATATTGCATGGAAAAGAGAAAGAGAGGTTGATTATAGCCATGATTACAATCATTGCAAAAAAAAAAAAAAATAAAAATAAAGGAAGAAGAAAGACTGATTACAAACACTTGCATAGTGTAGAAAGGAAGAATTCGTTAAAAGGAAATGCATGAAAATGAAAAGTAAGGTTATCATAATTCCAGTTGCAGGAATTAGTATGCATGAAATTGTGTATTAGTAGATTTGGGGATTTGAGATGTCATTTATGGGTAAATGACAGGAAAGGTAAGAGAGAGATGTGACACTATTTTATACAGACAAACTATCATGAATAATAAGGTTTTGGATAGAAAGAATAATATACTGATAAACACCATGAGGTTTTTGGATAGTAAGAACAATATACTGATAAACCATCACGTTCTCAGAAAGCCAAAATTTCTAAAATGTGGCTGGTTAAAAACAACACTTAATTTTTACAACAGGGACATATAGCAATATTTTGACAAATGATTAATGTGCGTTGGCCATGGAACCAGAAGTGGAGAGAATTGGATAAGATTTGAAATCACAATTTAGAGATAAAGGTTTCCTCGGAGAATGTCGCTGAAGGGAAAGGCCATGTGGTTTGTTATCTGATTTCAGACAAGAAAATATAAACCCAATATGGGGAATTTTTCTGTGGAGACAACAGGTTTGAAACAATAATTCCTTGACTTAATTTTTACGCAGCAACATTTAGCAATCTTTTGACATTTGATAGATGACCGCCACTATGGGGGTTGATACACTGAGTGAAAGAAGTTGCAGGAGTTGGTTTTCTGGGTTCACAATTAGGAATTTTAGTCTAGAGGGTGAGCCAAGGGAGGGTCAAGTCAAAAGATTTGGAAGCTGCCTTTACATCAAATTCTGCCACTATTCTGTGAGAAATTTAATGGTGGAAACAGACCTGATCAACAATGAAGTAGAGCACTTCATCCAAAGAAGATCATATTACACTGCATCATTGACTAAAGATCTTTAGTCAATGATGCGTGATGGAGGATTACTCTCTTTCTGTTCACTATGTTGGAAAAAAAATTGCTTCATCTTCCATATTCTCCTGACCATGATCCGTCTGATTATGACTTATTTAAGGGATTTGCAGAACTATTGGATCAAAATCAAAAGAATTTTTACAAATGTGGCATCTATAAAGTTTGTGACAGATAGAATGAGGTCCTAGGAAACAATGGATGTTATATAAATTGATTAAATAATTTTATAACCATTTGTATCTTCCTTTGTAATATACACTATAAAATCAAACAGAACATTCATTCCAACCTGATATCAAAGGTT